GTGGGTTTTCAGGGCCCAGCCCCCACCCGCCCACCCAGATGTGTCCTGTCTGACCAAAGGAAAATGGAAAGTTCTGCCTTGTGAACACTCCATTCCCCAGTGCTTTGAAATCATTGAATGTTATTCTGTTCAAAATAATGAACTAAGCCCCAGTTTTTAAATTCATCTACTCCCCAACTCCCACCATATGACGAAAGGAATATACAGACTTGGGCTTTGAGTGTCACAGTAGGAGCCACCCAAATGCCAGCAGCATCAAGTAGATTCTAGAGGTTAAAGTGCAGGTGGGTCTGGATTACAGAGGCCGACGTACCTGTAGGTCACCACCTGGGAGAGGGCGAGCTGCCTGCCTAGCAAAGAAGAGCCCCGGCCTCCTCCCGCTTCCCCTCCCCACCAGCTGAGACTCCTTGACACCCCACGCTCTGGGGAAAGAAACGCAACACTTGGAGGGAGGGGAGGGCCATTACCCTGCTGGTTCTCAGCCTCCCCTGGACATTGGAAAGACCTGGGAAATTTGAAACATACTGATGCCAGGGTCCCTCTGCCAGAGCTCCTGATTTAATTGGTCTGGGGTTTAGCCTAGGCAGTGGGCTCTTTAATGTGCCACCAAGTTGGGAACCATTGTCACAAGAAGGCAGTGGGAGCCACCTCAGTACAACCTGGGGGACTTTGCTGACAAGAGCTCATTGGCTGGGCCCGGGCTTTGGTGTTCACTCCCACCCAGACATGGCCAAGTGCTGAGAAGGTTCTAGGAGTCAGTGGCGCTTACGGAGGCCGGTCCTGTCAGAGCAATGGGTGCTGCTCAGTGAATTTCAAGCTAGTGAAACAAACAATAAAATCCTTCTCACAGCAGGAAACCTCCCCTGCCCCGACCCTTCCCTTCCTCTCCCCACGGTGCTGCCACCTCCCTACCCCTCCCCAGGACAAAGGGGCTTCTCATTTGACCAGCCGTAGAAATACCCAAATTTACCCTTTCTCTTTACATGGACCTCAGAGATTTGGTGAGGAAGCAACATAATCTGTAGCAGGACTTGCTTCAACTCTCACCTGAAGTCTAGAGGGGAAAGAAACGTTTCTAGTAATAGAGAAAGGAAATAAAAATGGAAAGCATAAAATAGGGGGCAGAAGTAAGATAAAATATGTCAGATGTTCCAACTGTGTGAAAGAGTTAAACCCTCCTCTTTAAGGACAAAAACTATAAAACTGGCACGGTCCTGCTCTGGGATACTGTCTTCCCCTCCCTTTTCCCAGCCTAACTCTGCCGGCATTGGGGGCAGTGGAACCTAGAAGAGCCTTTTCCATAACAAGGCAGCTGTTGATGGTGAGGTGGCTTCCCTGATCTTTCGATGGCCTGGTTCTGTCTACTGGTGGGAGCCTCTGTCTGTGTGGTGGTCTCCATGTAGACGGGTGTGTAGTGCCCGGGGGTGAGGTCTGGCTTCCTTCCAGGCCCATCTTTACAGACCCTCATGTCTTCCTTTGGCCTTCTCCCCAGTGGTCCATGCCCTCAGCCCCCTTTGGGTGGGGCATCATCTCACTTGGCCAGGGGGCTGCCTGGGGCGCCCCTCAGCCCCTGTCCACCCTCTCCCCTTTGGCTCCTTTACATAGAAACGTTGGAACTGCTGAGGTCTTTTACGGGCTAGATATTTTGTAGCACTGGAGTGGGGTGACTGTGTCTCCTCCCCAGATACACTAAGTCATTATCCTAAGCTATCCTAGAAAGCACCCTATGTTCAGAAATCCTTAGGCTCGGGACTTTTTTTTTTGTTTCAAATTATCAAGATTTGAATATTTTAGAAAATAGAAAAAGAAGAAATGTTTAATTTTTTTTTCCTTTTTGTCTTTTTTCGTGACTGGCAACGGGATCGCAACCCTCGGTGTCGCGCCCACACCGCGCTCAACCAGTGAGCGGACCGGTCTCTATATGGGATCCGAACCCTCGGCGGGAGCGCCACGACACTCCCAAGCGCCACACTCCACCGAGTGTGCCACTGGGCCAGCCCAATGTTTAATTTTTTAAATAAAGCTAACATAACGCTGACACCAAAACCTAGCCAGAATATAAAAATGAAATCATTTCACTTTTAAATACAGACACAAAATCTTAAATATAGTAACAAATTCTAGCCATAGGATGAAAGCATGATACAAGAACCGGTGTGGTTTCAAGTGGTCACTGATTAAAAAAAAAAAATCTCCTTAATCTTATCAATACTCAAAGAAAAAAAAAGTATGATCCACTCAAAATTGAAATAAGATTTTGTGAGATAAACTTGATCCATTGATACTAAAGTTTACCTACTTAAATGATTTCATGAGAATAACTAGGAAATTTTGAAATAGAAAAGTGATGATTAGGAACTTGCTTTAACAAGTTATTATTAACATTTATTTTAAAGCTACAATATTTAAAATGATATTATATTGTTACCAAAATGAATCAGTGGATCAAAATAGAAAATCCTAAAATAGATCCAAGTGCCCATGATAATTAAAATATACAATTAAGGTAGTATTTGAAATCAATGGAGAAAAAATGGATTATTTAAATAAATTACATTGGTGTAACTGCTTAGGCATTATTAAAAATAATAGATCCTTCCCTCTTTTTGCCAAAATCCAAATGGCTTAAGAGTAAATGTTTTCTAACACACACAAAAAAATTAAATAAAAATACTGGAATAAAATTTAGTTGAATATTTATATATGACTGTGGAGGATAAACCATGAATGGAAAGTTTGATTAGTTTGACTGCTTATACTGTTTTAAATTTCTGTATGTATGCCCAAATAAAATAGAAACCCCATTCCCTGCCCCATCACCCGCATGAACTCCCAAAACAAAATGAAAAACCAGATGATAAGCTGGGAATGATATTTGTTCCAAACATGACACATAAAGGGCCAATATTTGTACTATAAAAGGGGCCGCTAAAAATTTCAAGAAAAATAATGATATAATGATAGAAAAATAAATTGACAGTAAATGTCAAATATCTTGGAAAAATTCATGTCTTATGACCATCAAATTCCCTTCCAGTAATTTATCCTCAGGAATTGATTGTGGACATTTGTAGATATACACATATAAACTATTTTTCAAAGAGTCGTATATGAAAGCCAAGAGAGAATTAAAGAGAAAGAAGAAATTAATGAAGAAAGGAAGAGACAGAGAAAGAGGAAGGAGGGAGGGAGGGAGGGAAGGAAGGAAGGAAGGAAGGGAGGGAGGGAGGGAAGAGACGAAGAGAATAGAAGGAAGAGAGAAAAATAAGGAAGGATCTTAAATGTCCAACATTAGGAGATTAGTTAAAGAAATTATGTTACATTGATAGAGTTGACAGCTGATCAGTAACTAAAAGTAATCTGGGAAGATGTTCACAGTAGTTTGTATAAAAAGATTCTTTCATGAAAACTATATGTAAGTATATACACAAATATATTCATAAAGACATCTGGAATCTGCAGGCTGCACGTTGGTTATCTCTGGGTTAATATGTTATAATTGACTTTTCTCAATTTTGTATACATGTATTTTCTTTTATAATTACCATGTTTTAGTTTTGAAAAAAAATGTTTTAATGTTATTCTCAGAACTCCAGGCTTGGTATCATAACCCAAGATGTTAGGCTGCTCTGTAAAATTTTCTGCTCATTCTTGTCCTGGTTCCTCTCTTCCTGTCCTACATCCTGCCCCTGTCCCAGCTCCTGGTCACCAGTTCTAGAAGGATCTCTCTGACCGCCGAGGCCTTCCCTGACTCCTCTCCTCAGAGCTGCTGAGCCAGGAGCGATACACCACCTCAACTTTGTACTTTAAATGATTCCCATGTATTAGCCAGCCTCAGAGAAACTACAAACCTGTGAGGGCAGGGGTTGGGCTTTGTGACTCTTCTGTCTCTCCCTTAGGGCTCCAGGCAGAGCTGAGTGGCTGCTTCAAGGAGATGGGCTGGGCGTGGACCCTCTTCCTGGGAGTCCTGATAAGACAGACACTGGCCCAGAGTCAGCTCAGGCACCTGGGAGAGCTGAGGAGGCCAGAGACAGTGACACAGAACCAGCGAGCTGTGGGGAGCCAGCCTTGTCGTGGGAGGGGAGCCGGGGCCTGCTGTTAATGGCCTCGCCAAGCTTTCCCACATTTCCAGTTTCCCGTGATAATTTGTCAGTTAACCTGTGCTTTTTGTCTCCATATCATGTGGACAGGTTCTAACGTTCCCATGGACCAGCCCTGCTGTCGTGGCCTCTATGACTTTGAGCCAGAAAACCAAGGAGAATTAGGATTTAAAGAAGGGGACATCACTACATTAACCAATCGAATAGATGAAAACTGGTATGAAGGAATGATACACGGGGAATCCGGATTCTTCCCCATTAATTACGTTGAAGTGATCGTGCCTTTACCTCGGTAAATGTGTAACTCAAACTTTGGACATACTTTCACAACTGAAATGAATTCACGCCAGTGTTGTCTCAGTGTGGTGTTCTGTGACAACGTTGCTCTCTGACCAACTTAACGACTTTTGTATGTGTGTTCTCTTTATAATGTATTTTGTATCAATTTAATTTGTATAAATGATTTTCCTGTCCTAGCTACATGAAAATAGTTTTCTTTTTTGCCGATTGTCCTAAAAGTCATTGGTTAAACGTGTGTATTTCCTGTTGCTAAAAATAAGTCTCACCCACTGCCGTTATGTCAGCGAATTGCCTATATTCCTCAGCTGCGAGAGAATGCCACAGCTGAAACTAAGAAATGCTAAATATTTTGTTTCTTGACATTACCGATGGCATCTGGTCTTTTCCCTTCATCATGTTTAAGCTTACCTGTGAATAGCCCAATAAAGATGACACACTGTGTTGGCAAAAAGCGTGGTTATTTTTAATGTTGAATGGGTTTTTAAGCATAGTCTTCCAGCTGCAAAGTCCTCCTGTGCCCCCTGGCTGACCACGAGGTCATAGTGCAGGTGTAGATGATCACCCCAGACCGATGTCAGCAGGCCTGAGAGTAGCCTTCACTTTCCACCTGACTCAAACACTGCACACCCTCCTACCAGCCAGGGGATGGAAAACCCTTCCATCTACTTTTAAGTTTATTTATAAAAGAGCCCAGCTCAAGCTTCTTCTGCTGCCAAATATGGGTGGGTTTGATCAAGCAAGTCCTGTTATAGACGCTCAGTAAGTAGCATGATCAGGAGTTGGGTGAAGAGCCAATAACACGGTCACTCAGGCTCAGTGAAGCAGCCCCTGGTCTTGCCCAGGGTATGCACTTGTCATGTGCTTCCGCCCGCTGGGGTCCATGCAACCCTGTGTGAGGAGGGACAGTGTATTAGTCTGATTCTGTTGCTTAGAACAAAATACCTGGAACTGGGTGATTTGTAAGGAAGGGAAATTTATTCCTTAACAGTTTCCGAGGCTGGGAAGTCCAAAGTCCAGGGAACACATCTGGTGAGGTGACTCCACAGTAATGCAGGGTCTCACATGGCAGAAATGGCAGAGCAGAGAGAGAGAACTTCTCATGTCCTCTCCTTTTAAAGCCCTCAGAACCACACCTCTGACTACAATTACTAATCCATTCACCGCAGCACGGTCCTACAATCTAATCACCTCTTCAAGGCCCCACCTTTCAATTACCATAGTAGGATTTCCCACCTTCAACAGTTACGGTGGGAATTAAGCTTCTAACACATGAACTTTGGGGGACACAATCAACCCATAGCATCCTGCCTATGGTTCCTAAAGATCATGTCCTCACAGGTAGATTCATTCACTCATTCTCACAGGTAAATACATATATTCTCACAGGTAAATACATTCATTCTCAGGTAAATCCCTAAAGTCTTAACTTGTTTCAACTCAAAAGTTCAAGATTCAAAGTCCTATCTGTGAAAGCAAAACAAGTTATCTACTTCCAAGATACAATGGTAGGACAAACATAGGGTACATGTTCTCATTCAAAAAGGGAGAAATAGGACAAAAGAAAGGGGTAACAGGTCCCAAACAAGTCCAAAATCCAGCACAGCAGACATCAAAGCTCAAAGCTGGCAAGTCATGAACCTTGATTCCATGTTCAACGTTCTCCACACACTGGTGTGGGGGTTGGGTCCCCAAGTCCTCAGGCAGCTTCGCTTCTAAGACTTTCCTGGTCTCAGGTGATGCTTCAGCTCTCACAAGCTGGCGTTGCACACTGGTAGCTCCACAATTCTGGGGTCTCCATGGCAGTCGTGCTCTCTCAGCTCCAATAGGGGTTTCTCTGATGCAACTCTAGCCCCACGTTTCCTCTCTTCATCACTCTAGTGAAGGCTGTCTGTGGTGACTCTGCCCCTGCGACAGATCTCTTCCTGGGTCCCCAGACTTTTCCATACGTCCTTTGAAATCACGGTGGAGGCTTCCAAGCCTCTACAGTTCTGGCGTTCTGCCAGCCTGCAGACCTAACACCATGTGGACACTGCCAAGGCTGTTCTTTTCCAGAGCTGTGGGTCCAGCCACAGCTGGAGCCAATTTAGCCATGGCTGGAGCATCCAAAGAAGCTGGGTGCTGCTGTGGGGAGCAGCTTCCCGAGGTGGCCCTGGGCAGTGAGCCTATGGAAGACACCTCAGGCCTATTTCCCAAGACAATTCTGTCTCCCTAGGCCTCTGGGCCTGTAATGGAAGGGTTAGCCCCAGAGGCTCCTGCAATGCCTTCAGGGCCTTTCCCCCCTTCTCTTGGTAATCCTATTCTTTTGTCCTAATCTTCTTAGCACCAATACATTTTTCTTGTGAAAACGCTCTCTGCTTCTCTACCACATGGACAGGCTACAAATTTTCCAAATCTTTATGCTCTGCTTCCTCTTTAAATTGTAGCTTTATGTCATGCCTCTGCTGTCTTAACTCAGTGTAAGCTGTTACAAGTAGCCATGCAGCTTCCTGAATGCTTTGATGAATAGAAATTTCTTCCACCAAATACCCTGGATTGATGAATAGAGATTTCTTCCACCAAATACCCTGGGTCAGCACCTTGAAGTTCCACATTCCATAAACCTTTTGGGCAAGAACAGAATGCAGCCGAGTTCCTTGCCAGTTCATAGCAAGGGTGATCTTTGCCCCAGTTTCCAGTAAGTCGCTTCTCATTTACATCTGAGATCATCTCAGAATGGCCTTTACTGTCCATATTTTTATCAGCACTCTGCTCAACACCATTTAACCAGTCTCTAAAACATTTTAAACTTTCCCTAATCTTCTTTTCTTCTGTAGGGAAAGTGAAGATACATGGTCAGGATCCCTTGGATGTTCAGAATCTTGCCAAGCATTTGATGTAAATATGTTAACTGTGCGCATGTGCCCAGGTGATCCTCGGCTGTTGTTTGATGTGGATGTGTGTGGGCATCCAGGTGTTCCTGGATTGTCTGACTCACACCCAGGTGTACCTGGGTTATGGACTTAACTATAAAGGATGAATGGCTCTGATCCATAGTGCTCCCTGCCCTTGGTGGCAGAGGGGAGGGGGTCGTGAGGGGGCCACTACTGCTGCTGGAGGCTGCTGTAAGCTGCTACTGCTGCTGAGGAAGCTGAGGACTGAGCTCATGTCAGAATGAAGCACATCAACCTTGCCAGCAGCTCCTGGGATCTTTTCCCAATTACCTAGCTTGTGACCTGCCTGTGAAGGGGTCTGGTGACCCAGCTGGCACAGGAGGGGTCTAGTGACCCGGGGGGGGGGGGGCGCGGGGCGTGAGGGGGCCACTACTGCTGCTGGAGGCTGCTGTAAGCTGCTACTGCTGCTGAGGAAGCTGAGGACTGAGCTCATGTCGGAATGAAGCACATCAACGTTGCCAGCAGCTCCCGGGATCTTTTCCCAATTATCTAGCTTGTGACCTGCCTGTGAAGGGGTCTGGTGACCCAGCTGGCACAGGAGGGGTCTAGTGACCCAGCCAGCACGTGAGGGGTCTGGTCACCCAGCCAGCACATGAGAGGTGTGTGACCCAGTCTGTACAATGGGTTGGATAGGTCTGAGCCCTAGCCTGACATCTTCTAAACTTTCACTGGCATCTAGGCTTTTTCTAGCCCGTTCCTTTGAATTCCTCTAGTCTCCAACACCCAGTTCTGAAGCCTTTCCACATTTTCAAGTATTTGTTATAAGCAGTACCCCACTTTTCTGGTGCCAATTTTCTGTATTAGTACGTTTCTGTTGCTTATAACAAAATACCTGGAACTGTATACTTTGTACGAAAATGAAATTGATTGCTTACAGTTTCAGAGTCTGGGAAGTCTAAAGTCCAGGGAACACATCTGGTGAGGGTCTTCTTTGGTGGTGGCTTTACAGCAATGAAGGGGTCTCACGTGGCAGAAACGGCAGAGCAGAGAGAGAGAGAGAACTTCTCATGTGCTCTTCTTTTAAAGTCCTCAGGACCAAGCTCTGGTCACCATTATTAATCCGTTCACTAAGGCATGGTCCCACAACCTAATCACCTCTTTAAGGCCCCACCTTTAAATTACCGTTATAGGATTTCCCACCCTCAACATTTAACAGTGGGAATTAAGCTTCTAATATATGAACTTTAGAGGACATAATTCAATCAATCCATAGTAGGCAGGTATTAGATCCCCTTTTGCAGAGAAGGAGACTCATTGAATGGCTTGCTCAGGATCAAACAACCAAGTGGTGGCAGAGACAGAGTTTGTACTCAAATTGTTCACTGCCCCCCATTGCCCACTTCAGTGTTCACCCAAGACACATGGCAGTTCATGTTTGTAACAAATGCCCACAGGCCAGGTCAGTCACCTAAGCCATGTGACCTACACCAGATTACCCAGTCTTCTGAGTCCATGGTACATCAGTAAATTCCAAACAACATGCTTTCTCACCAGCCAGCCACACACACACACACACACACACACACACACACACACACACACACACACACACACCTTCTCAATAACAATTGAACCTTCAGTGTCTATAATTAAATGATAATAATAGCTAACATTTATTGTGGGCTTACTATGTGCCAGGTGCTATTCCAAGCATTTTACATGAATAACTCATTTAATCCTCATAAACAACACTCTGAGGTAGGTCTTATGCCCATTTTTCAAATAAGGGAACTGAGATGCAATAAGGCTACGTAACTTGTCCACAGTCACACAGTTAATTAAATGGCCGAGGTGGATTCTAACCCAAACAGTCTCCCTCTCACACCTGTGTCCTTCACCTTTCTCCTGCACTACCTGTCATAATATGTATTTGCCCACATATATTCACAAAGTAGCCATTTTTCATGCCTTATCAGCTTTTATTCTCCAGCTGCCACATTATTTACCAAAGGGAATGAAAGGTCAAGGACTATCCTCAATGCTCCTAATATGCTTTGATATCTTGCTTGGGAAATAGTTAATTGGGAGGTGTGGGTTAAACTTCAGTGATAACTAAAAATAAATAAATGAAAGAAAGAGAGAAAGGTTCAGCAAGTTACATTAGATTAAATGGAACTGGAATGGGACTTGTGTCAGTTGACAGCTAGCTGCAGGACAGGAGACTCAATCATCACGACCTGGCAGTGAGCTGGGGTGTTTGTAGTTGCCATTGTTACCGACCTGAGACGGATTCCTCCTCTGCAGCCCAAATGACTAAGAAGTCTTTCATGCCAAAGTTTGTATTGTCTAGCATTTATTTGGATGGCCATTCAGAGGAGCCCACAGTAGCTACAGGAGCTTTTAAGACCCCAGACTCCCCAATAGCTTAAAATCCAAAGTGTTTATAGAGGAAAATCATGAGTGGAGATCCTGGGAGTCGTGTGTGAATCCGGTCAGTGGTGAGGTCAGTGAAATTATTTCTGGCATCCTCGCAAGGTCCTCCCTGGGTCACTCAAGTCTGGAGGTGTACAAACTGAAAAGC